TTTGAAAATCATAGAATTTTCTAAAATTTTACTAATAAAATTATCAAAAATCTTATGATTCTCAAAATTTTATTAATACAATCTATTCTTATACACTAATATATCTGATTTTACACATAAAATTATATCATAATAGTATATAATAACTTATATTTATTAGGTTTTAAGAAAAAGATGCTGATTTTTGAAAATTTTTGATTAAAATTTTAAAATTAATCAAAATTTGGCATCTTTCTCTTAATATTTAAATAATATAAACTATTATATACTGATATGATGTAATTTTATGTGTAGAACAAATTTTATTAGTATATAAAAATAGAATTAATTAGTAAAATTTTGAAAATAATAGGATTTTCTAAAATTTTACTAATAAAATTATTGAAAATTTTATGATTCTTAAAATTTTATTAATGATATATGTTGACAATAGGTCAACAATTCGAAAAACGAAACTAAGTGCCGAACCACCTTGACTATACATACTAAATACTATCGTGTCAGAGCACGTGATCCTACTAACGATCAGTCCCAAGCTATCTGACAATTGTCACGTGCCAATCAGCCTAGTATATAAATACATTACCCTCACTTCTAACCAACTCTATCCCAGAAAGCCCAAGTGCGAAGTCCAATTTTCTGCAAAATGAGTAAATCCTCAACGCCAACAAATCAAGCTTCCCCTGCTACCAAAAATGCTAGTCCAAGTGCTAACTTGCCTGATGTAAACACAAAGGCGTACATCGATATCGCATGTCAAGCATCCTCAAATACCATCATTAGTACTATTAAGAAATATATCGACCAAACAATGTCTGCTCACATGGTCCTTATTAATAAGATCAACGAATGTATAGAAGCGTCCTTGAACCAGCAAAAACAAAGTCCACAACTTACTTATGCTAACCAGAGCCTGCAAGATACTGTTGCGATACATAATCATATGTACAATATAACCAACCCCAACAAGATGACAGGCCTAATGATGATAATGACTTCGGT